ATTGGGGCTAATTTTTATGGTCAAAAGTCAATAAAATAGAGAAATAAAATACGAGGGGATATGGTGAAATCCTTAGGGATTTTCTTATGCCGCTTGAAAGAAAAATGGAAAGAGGGTCTACCATGAAATAATATGAAAAATTAGGGTTTGATACGAAATATTCCCTAGTATAAATACATGCTAATAATATTAAGTATAAAATATATATTGTATATTTTTTATCATCGTTATATTAAGTTTCTTTTATATATATTAAAGTGTGTTTTTTTTTCAAAGTGGCGTTGACCTAGTACAACACCTATCAAGAAGTACAAGTTAGTTCAAATAGAATGATTGAAAAGCGCAACGGGTAATAAGTTCAAAAGGAGGTGGTTGAAAATAGTCTGAAAATATATAGGGATTTATAGCTTCATTGAGAGTATGACATTAAATAGAGCATAATGGTGGAGCGGGATTCATGTAGCCGACCTCAATTAATTAGAAAAATGTTATAACGATGATGAGATTTTTTTTAAAAAAAAACTATTTAGCTAGCGCGGCATATAATAATTTTTATATTTGTATTTTATAGACCTTGACCCAACCCAACCGAGTTGATCAAGTCCGGGTCCAATTGACTTGGACCCAACTGGGTCTGAGTCTAACTTATAACTAGTTGGGTTAGGGTCGATCCCAACCCATTCCCAACACTAACCATTATCATATTTTATAAAATTCATCATCATCATTATTGTAGTTGTTTTTCAATTAATTGGGGTATGCTATATGAATCTTGGTTATCCATTCAGCTTTATTAGAGGCCATAAGTCATCATATCTGTCATATCTTTTTTGATTACTTCCAATCATGTCATTTTAAACCTACCCCTTTCCCTTTTCAGTCATTATACTTGAATTTAATCACACCTCATAATAAGTATTGTACTTAGTCGGTGCCGCACATGACCAGCCCTCCTAAGTCTACTATCTCATTTTATCATCTATTGGTGCCATACTTAAATTCTCTCGAATAAATTTATTACGAATTCTATCCCTTCTGGTCTTACCACTCATCCATCTCAACATCATCATCTTCATTACACTCATTTTATAAGTATATTGTTTTTTGTTTACATTATGCTCCATAGAGCTGAAATAAAAACTTATGTGATATTTTACTGGGGAATACATTTTTTTTTTTTTTGTCATCTATTTCTTTTGGCAAAATATCACTTACATGTGGTCTTTATTATAATAAGATAAATTTCAAAATAAAATAAGCATAATAATAAAACCAATATCTTAACAACTTAATGCCATTGAAACAACTATGCACTATGCTTGAGAATAAAATATAAGAATGCAAGAAACAAAATGAATAATGCCGGATATTACCTCAATCGGGCTTATTACACCCCACACTGAGTCACCACCTTCCGATGGCGCGGGATCAACAGTCTAGCTTAAATCTCGAATAGGGAAAGCAAATTTCGACCAAGCCACACCAATGAAACATGAACCTATTTGAGCATTCTCTTAGCAACCTAGTTTGAGAGAGATGAATTCTCTTTTTGCTAAACTCTAAAACCGTTAGCCATAAATCCATATTTGAGAGATATAGAGAGAATAACTTCATAACCTAAACCCTTAGGTTCTTTCACAATGTGGGAGAGAGATATCAAACATGAGAGATATAAACTTTATTAAGAGAGAGATAGAAATATAAGATGTAGAGATTTTTTGGTAGAAATAGTCCATTTTTATAGGCTTTGAATAAGATTAGGGTTTATTAGGGTTTTTTTTGGTTTGCCTCTTCTTGTGAAATTGAACATAGACCGTTGATCAAGGGTAACTTGTAGGGTGAGAGATATGAGCCATCTATTCCATAGATAGGTCATTGACATTATGGAAGGTGCATGAACCACTATCCCCATTTCCTAAACCATTTTATCATCAATAAAAATTAAATAAATTAAATCTAATTAAAATATTGTACACACCATAAAATACTACATGTCTACTCAATCTTTCTACAAAATCTTTCAAAGATATATCAAGTCAATATTTAGTAAATATCTTCCAACCATATGGTCATATGTCATATCACCAAAAAATATGAAAGAGAATAAGGGTGGGGCGTGCCACCCAAGTGAGGCACTCATGGCCCCACCTTATAAAATATGGCGGGCCCATGTGCATAATGGGCCCCTATGATATTTTTATATATCTAAAATTAATAAAAATATTTTAGAATATTATTTAAATATTTAAACAATTGTAAAATCAATATCTTTAATTTTATAAATTCATAAATTATAAATAAAATATCCAGGGGTTCATGAAAATTCAAATAATAATCTTAAAATAATTTTCATCATAAAAAAAACACAATTAAATTAATTTGATAGGAAAAAGATCCATATGGTTTATGAATCAACAACCATGGGGGCACTCCACCTTTAACTATAGACTACAAACCACAATTGCTTTATCAGACCGACCTAGTATCTCTCATGACCCACGGTTCAAGCAGGGGCTTATTAGTGGGTTACCAAAGTCCGGCCAATGAGGCAAAGGGATCGCAATCCCAGTCTGTGGATTTCAGGTCCTCCCCTCGAGACGAGTCAATGTCACCTAGACTTGATACGATCATAGCTCCTATGGTGTATAAGGGTATATTTCGCACATGCATGCGCTTCACCCTAAAAGGTGGATTTATGACTTTCTCGAACGATCTATCGATATGCATACCGTGTGATGACACATGGATGAGGCTTTGACCCTCGTCTCTATGGGCCACCAACACACACAAGAGTCACGTAGTTCTTCAGCTCACTCATCCGGGTATGTTATCCGACCTCATAAAGGGCTAACCCATTAGAGCCATTATCAGTTTGTTCTTTATGCCCAGGTAACATGGGTTTTTCCCAACCGACTGATATAGATCGTCAAGCACAATCCGGTATCTGCAAACGTCATTTGCTTAGTGTGGCTCACGAGGGATCACACTCCTACTAAGTTCATGTTCCACTATATCATTTAATTTTACAAGCACTCATAAGGCATTTAAATGTTGAACCCAACAAGAGCAATGTCGGTCTCACCGCTATCCTATAGAACTTGCCCTTCAACCAATTATTAGCAAGTCTTTGTTTGAAACACGGTTTTTTCGATTTTAAAAATCCATGAAAAACTTCGAGTTTTTCAAAAGATATTAAAAATATCGTTGTTTTTGACTGGAACTGATATAAATTTGTATTTTATCTTTTTTTTTCAAAAAAAACTTTTAAGAAAACTTATTCGTTATAACTTTATTTCTTTATTAATTTACTATTATTCAAATTTGGTTTAAAGACAAGTACATTAACAGTGAATTGAGAATATTGATTTAAAAAAATAAAAAATAATCATAAATTTCACCAATGAGTTTCCTTAAAAAAAAAAAAATGAAAAAATGCAAGCAATATATTCCCTAGAAAAAGTAATCAAAACAATTGTATATCTCAAAATAATTGATAGAATTAGAAGAAAAGTAATCAAATGAAAAATCTTTTATTTTATTTTACTTTAAACTCCGTGTCCTCATAAAGAGCAAGAGAGAGATTCAATGATACTAACGATTTAGGTAGCTAGGAATTCAGTACGAGATTCGAATTTGCTTAAGCATTTTATTGTTTTCTATGCATAGAGAAATTTGATTAATTTTGTATATTATTTTTTTATTTTTTATTTCATTGGTGTATAGAACATAACATTTTAGATTGACCACTATTTTACATATTTGGGTATTTATTTATTTTTTATTTACCTGCCATTTTATATTGAGTCTTATACCTTGATTTATTATTTACTGATTAGTTATTGTATTTAGTAATGTTGTTATTATCGTTGTTTCATTTTATGCTCCCAATAAATCTATGATATGTTATGCATTGTGACAACATAGTGAGCATTGGTACTGGATTTATTGAAAGCTTCAACAAAATATTGTTAACTATTGCTCTAAGGGAAAAATTTACGTAAGGTTGGAACCTTAAAATGTAGAATTACAGTTGCACCTAAAAAATACATTGGAAAAAGTTGTTTTAATATTGAACAAATCTCTAATTGATCATCTCGACATCAAGATGTATGAATATGAAGAAAAAAAAAGTTTGAGTCCCAAAAATAGTGTATCTTGCAACACAATATCTAGACCGTCTATTTTCAAGTTTTTCATATGTTTATAGATCTATTTGATTTTAACCATTTTAAAAATTTAAAAATTTATAATTAGATATAAAAATAAATTTTCAGATAATTCCATTAATGTTTTTACACTAAAATTCTATATTTTGATAAAATTTGGAGGTGCACTTTAATTGGATTGTTTAAGGTTGCAACCTTATAGAAACCACACCCTTATTCTAATGACACTCTTAAGGCTATAAGATTATTGTTTAATGGCTTTAGTATATCTATACAATATTTGCAAATTATATTCCTGTACTCACATCCGATTATTTGACTATGTTTTTTTAACCAAATCCGAAGTATTCACGATTCTATAATTTGCTTTATTTTATAACGATCTATATTTTGACCTGATTTTTTCAGCTCAATTTGTTGAAATAAGACTGATTTATTATTGATATTTTGGTATGTTGATATTTTATTATTTCTTGACTTACTAATTATGTTTCAGCCTTATTGATATGCGGTGATCACATAAAATTTCAATTACACATCTCCATTTTGCCCACTTCACTTTAATTCTATGTGCAACATCTTTCTCGATGTCTCAATTTTTTTGGATTATTGAATTAAGATATCTCCCATATTTTATAAAATTATCACTTTTTTGTATTTTGTATACACCCCGAATTGTACCAGCAACTCGGGCCAACTCGGCCTGCGAGCGAAACTTCAAGCTCTAACTTGAACTTCGATTGATTCGAGACACGTGGGCGCGTGGTGGCGGGAAAACAAGTTTTGGCGGGAGAGCAGTTTGGCGGGAAAAGGCATCTTTTTGGCCTAAAAAATAGCAGTCTTTTCCCTCTTCGTCATCAAGCCCTAACCCTCGCCTTTCCATAGCCGGAAAATATACCGGAATATTATCGTCACAGTGATTTGTTGCCGGAATCTGACATCATGGTGGGCCCAGCATTTGATTGCTTGGCTAACCCCCTTGGGTCCGTTCGCGTATTGTTTGAGAAGGCCATAGAGTCCGGCCGGAATCCGGCAAGCCTCAGCCGGGCTGATTTTACAGGCGAAGTTTTCCGGCGTTTCCTTTTCGAGGAAGGGGGACTATCTCATGTGAGTTCATAGTTTTCGAGACCCTAAGTATTTTTAAGTAATCTTGTTGCCTTTGTTCAGAAAACCTAGCTTCTTCTTCTCTTTTTTTAAATTCGTCAATGGAGGTTCTGGTTTATTTTCTTTCTTTGTAATCCCTAAGTTTCATGGCTATTTTTTTTATTTCTGTTAGATTGGAGCCTAGGCTTTGTTTTCTGTTTCCATTTTCTGAGATCTACTGTCAGTTGGGGTAGCCTATCTGTATTTTTTTTTTTCTGGAGATGATACCAAACCCTAAATCATTTGTTAAGGATCTAAAACCTGAATTTTATTTTCTATTTGAGTTTTTGGCGGGAAAAAAATATATATTAGAGCCTCTAGTTATTAGAAAATTTGGGATTTGTGGTCTAGAATTGTTCAGAAAAATGATCGCCCCCTGAACCCCAATTGTAGAGATGCATAGGGCTACTCTCTCTCTCTAGAAAACTTTTGGATAACTTTTGACCGAAAACTCAAAATCAAACACGTGTGTTCTGATACTTGTTGCAGTTGGCCCTAGAATTAAGGGAACCTTCCCAAGTGCATTTTATGAGCAAATTTAACGCCTCCACACTGTCATGTTACATTTCAATTAATATGAGCAATTGATTACCTACCTCTCTATCCTCTTTGTTTCGCGGTGGTATATGTCTGTCTGAAAATTGAAACAACTAGCTATACAACACTTGGAGGTGGGTCAAAAGACTGGGGCATTCCAATGCTTTTCATTATATTTACTCAATTGTTTAAAATTCTTTGGTCCTTCTCTTTGACCTTTATGCTGGTTACCAATTCTGTATTCTAGCAAATGCAGGATCTTACAGAAAATATTGACAGATATATTTTGCAATGAAAATCATAACGTTTCTGCCATGTTCTTTGAAGCAGAACAAGCGAAAAGTCACTAGTGAAACCCAGTTGAAATTGTTTTAGTTTATTTTAACTTGGTACAAAATTAGTTCTCCCCAAGCCACCTTTTTGATCAAATCGAGGCTTTCATTGGTACAGGTACCAATTCTGGATTCAGTAAACTTGCTAGGGATTCCACCAAATTCCCTTGTTCGATTTGTTGGAATGGTACAAGATATGTTCGATGATGAATACTATGTTGGTGCATTTAAGGCAAGTGTTTTTTGTTCTTCTTTGTGATGCCTGTGATTGTTTTAATAATTACTTCTGTTGTTTTTGCATGGCATGTTTCTTATTGAATTCCAGGATGGTTCAACATGGAGAACAAACAAGTACACAGATGTTTCTTCATTGCCGATGGGTCCTTCATCTGAAATGCACCTCTGGGATCGGCGTCTCCTCTATTGCGTTCCTGTAAGTTATTACTTTCTTTTTATTTACCATCCTAGAAGTAATTTTTGCAAATCAAGGAGCAACATTTGTATAGTCTTTCACTAAACTTTGCAACGAAGAGATGATGACCCATTTTATAATCTTTTCTTAAATGCGATGATGATTTAAACAGAGGTCATTTTTTTTGGGTAGTTAAATAGAAGTCTTTTTGTGTTCATGAAATTCCTTGTGTTCATGAAATATCTATTTACAGTTGTCAAATGTAGTTGGACTTTTATCGAGGCGAGTTTCTCGAGCGAGTCTGAGTAAGTCACCCGAGCCATGTTCACTTAAAAAAAAAGACAAAAACGGAGCAAATATGATAATAAATAAAGTAACCTACCTCACTTTAGCATAATACTCTAAGTGGCGTATGGGTTGTCTCATCCAGTTTATATATATTGCTCTCTATGAGCTCATGGGTTCAATTACCATGAGCGGTACTCAATTTTGTTTAGTGCACAAAAGTACAACATTTTTAACCATTGTAGTTTTAACTTTAGATAGCATAATGGTTGGTTTGCCTTTGTACGTTTAAGAACTCATGGGTTTGATTCCCATGAGCGCCCCCCCCCCCTCGTCCCCATTTTTTTTCAGTCTCTTTTAACCCTATAAAAAAGTGTCTTTCATTGGGGGCAATCGAAACCCAATCACTTTAAGAGCCATGCGTATATTTTACCCAGTATGACATTCTTGTATTATGACATAGAAGTGACATTATATATAATTTTCAGGTCTCTTTAATCCCAACAAAGAAAACAAAAAAAAAGTGCCTTCGCTTGGGGGGAGTCGAACCCCTGTCACTGTAAGAAGAACATGCACAAGCTAACCAATACGACATTCACGCTTTCATAGCATAATAGGTGACATAAAAATGTACATGTAGTTCTAAAATTCGGCACAGCCTACGCGGATAAAACTCGCCTCGCCCCTAGTCTCGAAATGCTGGTTTTATCCTAAAGTAGCAGATTCAAATGATTCATATTTGACATGCAATGATACCTTCATTAATATGTACAAGCTTGTGCAAGCTTGGTTAGAAGCATTTTCCTTTTGTACACATATGCTTCACTTATCATTTTATTATGGAATTTTTTCTGTGTTTTGGGCAGGTTCCAGGGCAGAATTCATGGTTCAAGGCAGCCTTCACACCCATAAATTCATTAAGGGGTCATTCTAGTGTTGTCTCACATCAAAGAGAGAAGCGTCCAAGAGAACCTGATTCCATGGATTTGGAAGTTGATGTAATTGCAAACTTTTTTATTATTCTTTCAAATCAAGACCACCTCAATGTTTCAATTGAGATTTTTCTTCCTGTTTGGAATTTCTATTTCATTAACTTTATTAGGAATTTCTTAATTCTCCTCATTTCTTAATTATCTGATTTAATGTGTTGAATACTTATCCTAGACAGAGGCACTATTCATGTTCTCTTTTCAGATCTTTTGACTTGTGCATAGTTTTATTGGTTGTAGTTTTTCCTGTATTTATAGATATCTTTTTGTCAGGGCTCTGATCCAGACTTGGCCTTGTCGTCCCATGCCAAGAAAACGGTAAGCATCATATCTCTTTTCTTGAGAAAGTATTTGGAACCCTTTGGATGCTGTGACTTTTTACATTCATGTCCAATTGTAAAGTGAATATTTTCATTCACCGATGATGAAAAGAAACAAATTTAGAAACTTCATTTTTCAAAGATGAAAATAACAATGTGAAATTAATGTTGACAATAAAAATGTTGGAAAGACTATTGAAATTAGTTGTCTTGATTTCAGATCACTTTCAATTGCTTGGAATAGTTGTGAAAGAGGTTTAGTTTCAAATGGGAAATTGTTCTTAATTTATGGACAATGAGAATTGTCAAATTGGAGAGAGAGAGAGAGAGAGAGAGAGAGAGA